TAAATGGTTTTTCACATCTAGAGGGAAAGGAAGTAGTCTCATCTGTAAATACATTTACCTATATTTCACTCACAGGTCAAGTACTTGGGTTTTGTTTTGTTTTGTTTTTAGAGTTTTGGGGTCCATTTGAGGATTTACTGCCTAAGCAAATTGTGTACAGATGAGGTTTGGGCTTCTAGTGGGCCCTCTCTCCCCTGTAGTGGACCTGGCACTCAGTGTGTGACTGTGTGCCCCTAGCCCTCTTACCTCCCTCCCCCGTTCCTTTAGTATGTCCAGCGTCTGTTGTTCCCACTTAAGTGCTTGTGTGTCCAGTGATCAGGGTCCATTCATGAGTGAGAACGTGTGTATTCAGTTTTGTTGTTTCTGTGATAGTTTACTTAGACTGATGGTCTCCAGCTGCATTCATGTTGCTGGAAAGGACATGATTTGTTCTTTGCGTAGTATTCCATTGTGTATATGTACCCCATTTTCTTCACCCACTTCACCTTCGATGGGCATCTGGGTTCGTTATATGTTTTTGCTATTGTGAATAGTGCAGCAGTGAACATACACGTGCAGATGTCTTTTTGGTAGAGCGATTTATGTTCCTCTGGGTTATGCCAGAAGTAGGATTACTAGATTGTATGGTAGCTCAATTTTTAATTAGTAAAGTACTCTGATTACTTGTGTGACCATGCATTAACATGAATTTATTGAAGTACTTTTAACCCTGAGAATCAAAGGAGTTAGTTCCAAATGTATGGTATTGTTAAAGAACTTAGCCCTTTTGACAAAACCCTGTTTCTGCTTAGCTCTTGGAGTTCTCTTACATGGAAGCTGTGGAGGAACCCCACCCTGTGATATGTGACACCCTTTTTGTAGGCAGAGACAGGATTTCAGAAAAGCCAGTGTCTGCTGCACTTTGGAGCCTCAGGCAGCTCCGGGCTGATGGAGTAACAGCTGTAGTGCTGGCTGTGGTACAGGGTCCCAGTAGGTTCTAGAAGAGAGAGCAGAGGGAGCAGGGCTGGCCAGGCTGCTAACTGCCCTCTCCTGGCCCTTTTCTCAGCCCACCCCTGCTTCTCTTCCCAGATGGTCACCCTAGCATCACTGCTGAGCAATGAAGTGAACAAATGTTTTAATTTCACTGCTGAGTAGTTCTGCAGAGGGGAGACAGCAGAAAGGATAATGAGAAGCGCCTCAGATGCCACCCTTGATGACAGCTTCTCTTCCCCACTGGCTCAGATGATAATACCAGACAAATTGGATACAGAGAGAGATGGACTTGGGATGTTCGGAAAGCTTCAGGTGAAAAAAGCCCTGCCTAGGGTGGAATGATATAGCTGTGTGCTGTATCAATTAAGATGCACACAAAGAAGGGAGGGAGGGAGGGAGGGAGGGAGGGGAAATAAAGAGAAAGGAACATGTTTGCTAAGGCACTAGCAGAGAGTAGATCTGCACAGGTTACCTATTGCCTGTCATGATTGCTCTGAGGTTCAGCAATTTCAGACCCTAAGCACTTATTACCTCCTGGCTTCTGTGGGTCAGGAGTGCAGCCCCTTAGGTTGCAGTCAGGGTGTCAGCCAGGGCTGTAGTCATGCAGGGCTCAGCTGGGGGAGTGTCTTTCGCTAGGCTCCCTCACGGCTGTTGGCAGGCTTCAGAAGACCCACCTGCAAACGTGATGTTGCTGAGGACGCAGCTCTGCCACTTGGGCCTCTCGGCGGGCTGGCACATGGCAGCTAGGTCTCCAGAGCAAGGCAGAGTGCCATGGGCAAGGTGGCCGCCATGCCAGCCTGACCTTGGCCATGTGCTCGGCCTTGCCCAAGGCCGTGGATGTCTGGAGTCGGGTCATTAGGAGACACTTTAAAGGCTACCTATCTGCTGTCCCACTGCTGCTGTCCCCGAAAAGGCATCTTAAGGAGATTATAGGCCAACTAATAGAAGCATGAAAAGTTGATTTCATTTAACCGAAGGGCATTAAGCATTCAACTGATAGCTTTCTTTCTTTATTTTATTTTATTTTTTTGAGTTGGAATCTCACTCTGTTGCCCAGACTGGAGTGCCGTGGCATGCTCCCGGCCACTGCAGCCTCGACCTGTTGGGCTCTGGTGATCCTTTTGCCTCAGCCTTCCAAGTGGCTGGAACTATAGGCACGCGCTACCACACCTGGCTAATTTTTTTGATTTATTGTAGAGATGAGGTCTCGCCAAGTTGCCCAGGCGGGTCTTGAACCCACGGGCTCAGGCAATCCACTCACCTCGGCCTCCCAAGGCTCGGGATTATAGGCTGAGCCACTGAGCCCAGCCTCTAATGATATCTTAATGTGGATGATTAAACTGTGTTTTATCTTAGTTTACTTTTGGAGGTGACCAAAAAACACAGAAAACTTTTTTAAAGTTTAATTTAGCTTTCCAATCACAGCCATCCTGCGATTGGAAAGCAAGCTAAATAAAACAAAGTCAGATCTAATTTGTTTATGATTTCTATTTATTTAGCAAGAAGGGAGAAAGATCAAATCTCTCTGAATAAAAATTTTAAATATATACTTACTACTAGAATTTATAATAGCCATCTAGCCAAATGTTGCAAGTATGGATACAGCATGTGTGAAATCCTCAGGGTGGGGGGATGTAGAAAAGGAGCTTCTTGCTCTCTAAGGACTCTTGTCAGAAAACTTCTTCTATTTTCTTATGTAATATTGGCACTAAAAAATCATTAAAGGTAGGTTGTAGTTTTACCAAATAGACATATAAAGACTATACATATAACTATACATATGAAATCCACTTTTGGTTGCCAGATTTTTAAAAAATAAATTCATTATTTTGGGCACAGTAACTAATGCTTGTAATCCTATTGCTTTGGGAGACCAAGGCGGGAGGATTGTATGGGTCCAGGAGTTCAAGACCAGCCTGGGAAGCATGGGGAGACTCCACCCTACAAAAACAGACAAAACTTAGCCAGACGTGGTAGCACGCATCTGTAGTACCAGCTACTCAGGAGGCTCAGGCAGGAAGATGACTTGAGCTCAGGAGTTGGAGGCTGCAGTAAGCTGTGGTTGTACCACTGCAAAAAAAAAAAAAGTTAATTATTACTAAAGTAGAAATATCAATTCTGCCTTTGAGTTGGCCTTCCTCCCATTTGTGTGAGAGATGTTATGTCAGCCCAAAGATAGGAATGCTGACTTTGTTTATTTTACCACTGGGGTTGTTGATGTCTTACTGCTTTGTAGTGGAATCAGGATGGTGAGCTTGGTTTTTTATGTGGCCCTGAGACCCCGAGGTTAAGGCATGTCCAGCAGAAACTGTGTGGCAGCTCTGGATTGAAACAGTGGAGGATTATTAGAACCAGTTTTCAAAGTTGTTTGCATAAAGTAGTAGTTAAAGCTATATGTGGGAGAGCTTGTTCAAAAAGGACAGTCCAAAAGAAGAGAAAGATCAAGGCTGAGATCAGGCTTAGGTGCTGCTTATGGCTATGGTTTTGGAAGAAGAACCCTTGGAAAGGCTGCAAAGGAGTGGTCCTAAAGGCGAGTTCTTCCCAGAATGCTTCAGTGGTGCTAAAGTCAGGTCATGAAGCAGAAGCAGTGCCACATGCCCCTGAATGGTCAAGCAGCACAGGGCCAGAGGCAAGGCTTGCTATGTAAACAGTTTTGTGAGGGGGAGGCTGAAGCCCCTTCAGGTTGGAACAGTCATTCACATGGGGCCGTTAATATGTGAATCTTGTGTTCTTACTGTGGGCAACCACAAGCCCACACACAGTTAGCCTTATGTGTCACAGAAAATATCTAAAATTAATCAACTCTGTCTTTTTTTTTTGGAGTTGGAGTCTCACTCTGTCGCCCAGGCTGGAGTGCAATGGCACACTCAAGGCCACCACAACCTCGACTTGCAGGGCTCAGGCGATCCTTCCACCTCAGCCTTCTAAGTAGCTGGAACTACAGGTACACGCTACCACACCCAGCTAATGTTTTGATTTATTGTAGAGATGAGGTCTCGCCAAGTTGCCCAGGCTGGTCTCGAACTCCTGGGCTCAGGCAATCCTCTTGCCTCAGCCTCCCAAAGTGCTGGAATTCCTTGAGCCACCGTGCCTGGTTAGCCCTATCTTTTTAAATAGTCTATCATTTATGATGCAAATCACTTAAAGTGTTCTTTTTTCCTAAATTGTGAAGCTGGGTTTTTTTGTTTTTTGTTTTTGTTTTGTTTGTGTTTTTTTGAGTCAGGGTTTTACTCTGCCACCCTGGCTGGAGTGCAGTGGCACACTTATGACTCACCACAGCCTCAACTTCTTGGGCATAGGTAATTCTTCTGCCTCATCCTCCTGAGTAGCTGGGAGGTGCACATCACCATGCCCACCTAATTTATTTATTTATTTATTTATTTTTGTCAAGATGAAGTCTCGCCATGTTGCCCAGGCTGATCTTGTACTCCTGGGCTCAAGCAATCCTCTTGCATCCCAAAGTGCTGGGGTTACAGACTTGAGCCACTGCACCTGGCCTTTTAATTACATTTTTAAATAATAAAATGACAGTTAATTTAAATTCAAATGTCCTTGCCCAAGAAATACTCAACATGTCATAAGAGTCAAAAAGGTATAATTGTGTAAGAAGTACATTAAGTTTTTTTAAAATTCACTGAACACCTACTATGTGCTAGTGGTTGAGGATACAGAGCTCTAGAAAGCAGTCCTCATCTTCAAGAAGTCTAATAGGAGAAAAAAATAATATGGCATGACAAATATGGAATTACAAGCAGTGAAGAAGAGGTAAGCCCCATGGTTGGCTCCCAGCAGAGGTAACCTCTGAGGACGGTCAGACACAGAGTTGTGGAATTGGAGCCTCCAGAAGGCAGGGGCAGGCGTGGGAGACAAGGGCTGGTTGGAGCTTCCACTGGGGAAGCAGCTGCCTTGGGAGAGGAGCTGTAGGAACCAGATAGGCACTCAACTGTCAAGGGCTTGGCTTGCCATGTGCAACGAGTGGTGGTCCTTATGGTTCCCTGCCCTACCTCTCTGGGTACTTTTGTTTCTAGATCATCAGGAAATGTCTCGAGGGGGAAGGATATTCATCCTTCCAGAGAGTCCTGGATAAAGTGAGAGATGGAAGCCTGGAGATACAGACTGTTGTGTCCCTGCTGCGGCTATACCAGGATTCTAATCCTGCAGTGAAGACAGCACTATTAGACAGCCACCCGGAAGATGGAGAAACCGTGTGGCCCAAAGGTAGGAGAAAATCCTCTCTGCTGGAATGCCTGCGTCTCATCCTGGGCAAATGCTCATTTCAGTGACATTTCTTTGGTGGCTTAGTTATTGAGTGGTTTTCACAAGAGTTCCACATGAACTTCTAGAAACTGCATGTTAAATACGTACAAATTAAATGCGAGTCCCCTTTTCTATCCCATCGTTAACTAGCCTCACACCTTGAACTTGGAGGATACCGTCATGTTCTCCTGCCCTTCAAAAGCCACACATCCAACTCAGTGCCTTGAGGGCCCAGGGTGAATGGTTCGCTGACAGCACTTAAAGCCTGAAGTTTCTCTCATTTGGGTTAGGTACAAAGCGGCGGCCTTGCCAACCAGAAGTTAACCTCTGGCTGGCTCTGCAGCTTTGTGTTTCGACAGATAAATGAAACATTTTTCCTTTCATAGAGTTTAAACAGAATAATAAAGTATTTTCCTCTGTAAAAGAGATTCTGCATTCAGGTGCTCAGAATAAGCTGAAAACCACTTTACTATTCTGTTAGATCTCTTGACAAACCACGCTGTCATTTTCTTCAAATTGACTAGCTTCTCTTGTGTGTCTCTAACTCCTTCTCCCCCAGGGAGCACAGAGGAGGGAAAGACCTTGTCTGCTCTGTTACTAGAACACAAAGAGGACCTGATACAGTGTGTAACACAGCTGAGACCTATTATGGAGATCCTGGAAACAGCCAAGGAGGAATTCCTGACTGGCGCTGAAAAAAGGGTAACTGTGTCAAGTGTCTCCTCCCCTTCTGAATTCATCTGGCACTTCAAGAAAAACTTCCTTTGTGACACATAGCACTTTTTACCTTACAGAATTTTTATACATACTGCATAGTAAGCATCTTGATGTTGAGTTGCTTGTTTTGTGCCCCATGATATCCCTTGCAGTGACCTTGTATGTTGAGCTGAATGGTGGGTGGATGGGTGGGTGAATAGATGGTCGGGTGGGTGGCGGAGGATGAATGGATGGGTGGATGGGGGATGGATGGGTGGGTGGATGAGTGGATGGTAGAGGTGTGTGGATGAATGGGTGGGTGGATGGATAGGTGAGTGGGTGGATGAGTGGATGGATGAATGGGTGGATGAGTGGATCGATGAATGGGTGGATGGGGAACGGATGGATAGTTGGTGGGTGGGTGGATAGAGGTTGGATGGGCGGTGGAGGATGAATGGGTGGATGGTGGAGAAGGTATGGATGGGTAGACGGATGAGTGGATGGTAGAGGTGTATGGATGAATGGGTGGCTGGATGGATAGGTGAGTGGGTGGATGAGTGGATGGATGAATGGGTAGGGGGATGACTATTAGTATAGCAGCTGCACCAAGAGTGAAAATGTTAAGGCAAATTGGTAGTTATTTTGTCATTTTTCCTCCTTGCAGAAATGATATACTGTACTGTTAATATTTAGAAAATTGGGAAAACAAGCACAAAGAAAGATAATTCCATTGTGCCATTTAGAACTGACCCCTGCCAGCACTTTAGAGCATGTGCTCCCACTTATCTCATGTGTGTCATCCCAGGACGTGGTTACACAGAGCATTTAGTTTTCTAACTTGCCTTTGTATCTAATATGATAGTACATTTCTGTACTATAACACAGATTTGGTAGCTGTGTTATATCCTGTCTAATGGACATATCATAATTCATTACTTCTTTATTGCTGGGCTTTTGTTTCTAATACTTTTGCTATTATAGTGACATTATAGAGAGCATCTTTGCACATTTCTCAGATTATTTCCTTAGAATAATTCTTTTTTTTTTTTTTTTCCGAGTTGGAGTCTCACTCTGTCACCCAGACTGGAGAGCAGTGGCCGCTTCTGGCCACCGCAGCCTCAACCTGCTGGGCTCCGGCAATCCTTCCGACTCAGCCTTCCAAGTAGCTAGAACTACAGGCGCGTGCTACCACGCCCGGTTCGTTTTGATTTATTGTAGAGATGAGGTCTCACCAAGTTGCCCAGGCGAGTCTTGAACCTGTGGGCTCAGGCAGTCCACTCACCTCAGCCTCCCAAAGGCGTGGGATTACAGGCTGAGCCACCGAGCCCGGCTAGATTGATTTTAAAGAAGTGGGATTTTGGAAAAGAGAGTATAAAAATTTTCAAGTGTCTGATACATATTGCCAAATTGCCCTTCAGGAAGGTTGTACCAGTTTACTTTCCCACCAGCTAGCTACTAAAATCCTCATAAAACTGCTGGCATGACTTCTCAGGCAACTGGATAACTATATTTGTTGGTGTTATTGATTTCAACTTTGTGCTAAAAATACTTTTATATCTGGAAGGAAGGAATAGGGATAGAGTACTTTTGTGGCATCAATTCTTCAAGCTGTGGGAAGTGGCTTCAATGTTCAGGAGAGAAAGTGTTTAGAAACCACTGGTATAATGTCTAAGCACTGAATTTACATTGATGACTGGATCCTAGATTTTTTTTCTCGGTGACATTATATTGCACAGGTACACACACACACACACACACACACACACACACACACACACACACACAATAGGAACAACCTTTAATCTCAAAATTACATTTTGTAAATTAGTTCTGTTTTAAAATGTTTAAGTCCTTTGAGCTTCGTAGAGAAAGGTAATATGCAAAAAGAAAAAAAAGATGAAACTCGTACTTTTTTCTCCTTAAACTTCAGGCGAAGCGTCATTTCAGGCCCTGTGTCTTAGTAAGTTGCTCATAGCTCTAGAAGTTCCTGATTCCCTCCTTAGCGATTTCATTCGATTACTCATTCAAGCCTTTCCCTTACGAGCTAGATTGAATGTGTCCTTTGAACTGTTTCATTATCTCGGTGAAACGGCACGCTCAAGCACAGCCTCATTCTCGCAGCAAGCTAAACCACACTGTCATCTTCTTCTGTCACTTTCAGTTTACTTGACAGAGAAAGCTGAAGCAGAAGAACTTAAATTAGTTATAAATCACAAAAACACTTCTTAAGATTGAGGCTGCCTCGGAGCTTCATTAAGGACTCCTTCTCATGAACGTGGAGGCAAACTAATCCAGTGGGTGTGGAGAGGTGAATGTTGATGGAACAGTCGCAGCATTTTGACACCATGTGGAATGTGTTCCCAAGCCTTTTGAAACTTTTTCTGTTGTGAAATTATACTAATAACGGGTGCCATAGCCTTTGTCTATAAATACTTTGGGCTTTGTAAGAAGCAATAAATAGGTATGTCTTTACTTCAGAACTGGAAACAGTTAAAAAATAGTAATTACTATAGTTGTCATTGATTTGTTGCTTACTGTGTGCCGAGCAATGTGCTGAGGATATTTTAGACATTTCTGAATACCACCCCAAGCAACTTTATGAAGTCATGGATGTTACCCTCATTTTAAGGATGAAGAAACAGAAGCTTAGAGAGAGTCACCCAAAGACATAGCTGTTGAGACCAGTGCTGGACCCAGGCTTCTAGTGAAAGCGTAGTCCCTTAACCGCTATGCTTGCTTCTGTCTCATAATATCAACAGTACTGTCACTTCTTAAAGATCACATCTGTCCAGGAGTTATGCCAGGCTTTCCAGACAGCACCCTCGTTTTACAGAATCCTCAGGACAACTGTGCAAGAGTTGGTATTTACAAATGAGGAAAACAAGATTCAAAGAATTAAATAACTTGCCCAAGGTCATGCAGTAACTATTAGAACTAGGGTTAAACTAGGTCTGTCAGGCTTTGAAGCCCACCCTGTTACCAGCATCAAGCTGCCTCAATACTCATCAGGAACTAAGATTTTAACACTGAAGTAAGTATGGTTTTTAGACACAAGCTCTTACATTTTAAATTAGGATTCGTTTGATAGAAATCTACTCTATATTAGACAACTTGATTTATTATGTATGTATGCCTTTAAATGGGTATATAAAGCCAATTTGGTTTTAAAGCTAAATTCATCATTTTAAAATGGAATTTAATTTGATAATGGCAGCCTGTGGCACACCACCATGACCGAGATCTGGCATTTTCCCGAAGGAAAGCTCAGAACTCAGTTACTGTGAATCTGTAGATTGCAGTATTGAAATAATCCTCTGCTTTATCAGTTCCATAAGAGCTAAGTCGTGCACACTGCGTCGCAGACCATTAAGATACGGTTCTATTGTAATATGGAACTATCTGTAAAGTATCTGTCACGTGTTTTATTTTCAACCTTTTGCTGGAGCTCTGTGCCCTTTTGACTTAAAAAATCTTCTAGTACTTCAAGGAAGAACAGAGAGTGAGACTGTTGAATGATAGTTGGAGCTGCTGTGTGTGGCCACTGAGAATGAGAGGAATGGGTAATTAGCATTCACAAGAAAGACGATCCAGAGAGGCACTGTATGTAGAGCTCTCATTCTGGAGTTCATAGAGTAATGCACAAATTATCTGAGTATTCATATTATTATGCAAATAAGGTAAAATGGGGTAACCAAATCGCTCTGAAATCACAACCTAAACCAGTATTATGAACTTTACTGAGACACAGTGTATCATTTAATTGCCAGTCTGTTTCTCAATCTTAGAACAAACTAAATCTGAAGAACCTGGTTAGCCCATGGGCTACTTGCTGTGTTGTACGGGCCTGGTTAGGGATGTTTTCACAAGATGCAGGCTGTTGGAGGCAGAGAATACACACAGACCTGCAATTGAGAAAGAGAGATTTTCAAAGAGTTACTGGTTTGGAGAATGTTTTGGATTTTTATTGAAACAGAGTAAGGAAGAAATGGAAAAAGTAACACTGGAGCCCAGCAGAGGCAGACTTGGAGGCAGGGCGTATTATAATGCCATCTTGCTAGGCTTTCTAGTGGCGTGTCCGATAAATGCTGAATTGTCGGTAACTGGTGTCTGGTTGATTGCTTGCCACTGCAGGTGATTCTGAATTGCTGCGAGGGTGGAACACCCAAGGAGACAGTAGAAAATCTGTTGCACAGAATGACTGAAGAGAAGACCCTGACTGCTGAGAGTTTGGTAAAACTCCTCCAGGCTGTGAAGATGACTTTCCCAAACTTGGGCCTTCTGCTGGAGAATTTGCAGAAATTAGCCACTTTGCCAAGCACCACAGGTATTAGTTAATTGTTGACTCTCTGGACTGGAACCTCTCCTACAGAAAATTGTAGCCCAAACACCCTGTTAGCTCCTTGCTGGGAGATAAGATAACGTTAAGAAATGTCACTGCAAAACAGAAACTAGCTGTCATAAATCAATGACTCTCAGTCTCTCTGGAGTTAAGATCTGGAATCTCAGAGTGCCTTCTCTCGGCTAAGCTCCCCCGTGGGGTTCCTGTGGTCCAGGGCTTACTAAGGAACAACAGCTTTCCCAGGGCCGCCCGGGACCACCCGTGAAGCCAGTGGAGCGGACATACTCACAGGGCGCAGGATGTTCTGACAAGCTTCGTTGGCAGATATGAGCAAGAGCGGGAGACTCAGCCTCCGCTTTCCACTAGAGTGCTGGTTTTCACCATCCCCCAGACCAGCTACTCATGTGTCCCTTCAGCTTGGGGAAATGAGTTCCTATGTCATTCCTGAGAAAGATAACCCAGCTTGAGCAGTTCACCTCTGTCCCAGGCATTGGGACTGAGATGGTTTTCAGAAAAAGGATACTTGGCAAATGGGAGCGCTCTCTTCTGACTTTTAAAAATAATATGGACAACGACAAAAATAAAGAAAATGACAGCTTAAAATTCGACCCCTCAAATGTGCCAGGATTAACGCAGACATCTTTGATGTATGATTTGCATCATGTTGAGATACTACTGCAGTTTATAACTTCATGGTCCCCCGTTTCACAGTATAGTGTCCTCCCCCACATTTCGTAAAGGCCCCGGTGACCCTGGGTTTTGCAGGCCATGCGGTTTTCCACATGAGAATGCGTGTGGGGTCTCACTCATGCCCTTCTTCTAGGGCGCGTGTGGCGTGGTGCTTGCACCGCAGCCTTTCGCCATTCTGTCGCCGTGTGATCCTGAGCAAGTGACTAAACCTTTCTGAATCACGTTTTCTCTGCGACACGGGATACGAAGGGTAGCTGTCGTGTTCCTTTTTGTGGCTACTGTGAGGGAGCACGTGTGGACACAGCACAGTGTGTGGCACTCAGGCACCCAGCAAGGACTGGTGGTTCACGTCTTCATCTTCATCGTCACCACCACAGATTGTGCTTCCACAGTTGGCTTTGTACATAGTTTTTTGCCTTTAGATAATTTCCAGAAGTGGAGTTACTAGGCTGAAGAGCAGAATACGTTTTTAAATATCCACAAAGCAGAGGAAGTGCCTGGTTGTCCTGATCGTTCTTTACTTTCGAGTAACGATGACCTCTTAGAAGAGAGAACCTGCCGGGTGGGGGGATCAAAGGCAGAGACCGAGAGTGGCCGTGGCCAGCGTCCTGCGCAGCCTCGACCCGCGCCTGCATGCATCTTGGGCTGCCACGAGCTCCTCCCCTCGAGCCTGATGAGTAGCACCCCTCGAATCTGTACATCTGCATCCCTCACGAGTGCAGCCTTCTCATTACCCTCCCGTGGAGCAGACGCTCGCTTCCACCACCAGGCACTGACTCTGAGTGCTCGTGGGTTTCTGACCCCACAGCGTCAAGTGTTAAGTGCAGCCAAGACGCCTGAGGTGTGTCTGAGGCCCTGACCAGGAGCTGGGCTCAGCTCTGCCAAGGACACAGAGCTCTTGTGCTGGCCACTCGCACTCCCTCGTCCTCTCATCCCTGTCGTCCTTTTAGGAGGTTTTGGTGCATCAAACGTCACTGTTCGCTAATATCCTTACAGTTCAGCCAAGCCCTGATGATTATGGGACTGAGCTATTGAAACGATACCACGAAAACCTCTCTGAGATTTTCACAGACAACCAGATGTTACTAAAGACAATCTCACACATGACGAGTCTGGCCCCTGGAGAAAGAGAGGTAAGAGAGGAAGAGCGACTAGGGGAGTGGGGGTAAAATGAGAGAGGAGGGAAAAACACAAATGTATACGCACGTGTATTTATGTTTTCTGTAAACATACACACACAGCCATGTTGAGGGTTGCTGGGTAGAGAAGACATCGAAGGTGACTCTTGCTAAGGCTGAGCAACAAGTAGGGCAGTTGTCGTTTCTGTGTAATAAGGAAAGGCGGGAGCAAGAGCGCTGTCTTTGTCATGAATAGGAGTGCTGTCGGGGGGAGAGGTGAAGGGTGTTGGAGAGCTCCTTCCCGGAAAGATGCTCACTGTAGCCCAGTGCCCACACTTGCAGCTCTGCCGCGGGGCCAGCGGCCAGAACGTCTCTAACACACGTGTCTGTGCTGCCTCTTGAAGGTCATGGAGAAGCTTGTGAAACATGACTCTGGCTCAGGTGGTTTCAGTTCCCTGCTGTCAGCAGTTCTAGAAAAGCAGACTCTCCCTGCAACAGCCATTTGGCAACTGCTGCTGGTGGCTCAGGAGACAAAGACCTGCCCGTTGGACTTGCTCCTGGAGGAGATACGCAGAGAGCCTGGGGCCGACGCTTTCTTCCAGGCAGGTGGGTCACCAGTCTTCTGTCAGGGGCTTCCCAGAAAGTGGAAAGAGCTCACTCATGGTTGTCACTCACATCCCTGCCATTAGGGTGTTAGGACTGGCTGTTTTGCTCAAGGACACAAGAGTTTGTAAACCTTTTTAAAACCAGATGCAGTGATTATTCTGAGCTCGTGTTTATGATCGTCCTAATGACAGTGCTGTGTTGCCACTTTCCTCACTCCCTGCCACAGATGGGAGATGGATGAAGCGTGTTCTCATTGTGAGGAGTTGAGTTGAGGAAGGTGAAGGAAAAGATGGCGCCCGTTGTTTCATTGATGAGGTTCGATCCCCCTTTCTTTCAGTGACCACCCCAGAAAATGCTGCTTTAGAAACACTCCTGAGGCATCGCAAGTTGGTCACAGAGGCCATCCAGCAGAGGACTGAGCTCAAGTGCTTCACCTCAGAGGAGGAGCATCTGGCCGAGACCGTGAAAGAGGTGTGGGAATGAAACAGCTCGAATTCCGGAGGGTTTTAGGGTTGATGCCTGGGCAGTCTTCATTCCTTAGGGCGGAGCCAGCATCTGTAGAGGACCTGCTTTGTGCCCAGCCCTGTGCCAAGCTAGTGCTTTTAAGACTTGTGCTCTTGCAGTCCTTCCAGCTCTACGTGGCATGTGAGGTTGTAGACAGGAGAGCTCAGGCTCCGGGGTTGGTTCTGTTTCATGTCCAGGGTGCTCCGCAGGTACACGATGAAGCCAGGGTGGTTCTTGTGACTCAAACCCAGCTTTATTCCATTTGTCCAAACCTGGATACACATCAAGGGAACCGTGATGCTGTTCTCTTACCTACTCTAGGAAGCAACTTCTCTCAGATGAAGGAAAGTAAAACTGGTCCTGTTACATGTTCTATTCTGGCTTCCAGAAAGAGCCAAGGTAAACATAGAACAAAGCTTCTAACCATATGGGCTGGCAAGATAGTGCCAGCTCATTTTCTCTAAGGCTTCCCACAGTGTGACCAGGATCCCAAGAGTGCCAGGTGGGCACTGGGGGAGCTCACTTATCTCCATTCCAGGATCGTGGGCATCCTGTGTGGGGAAGAGTCAGAAGAAGCATAACATTACCCTGTAGTTCACCTGTGGTGTCCTTGTGATCCGCGTGGACCTGGAGGGCATGTGGAGGCCTGGCTTCTAACTCTATTCGTGCAGGTGACAGCCACACGTTGGTCTGCCTCTCAGATGGGAAGAAGATGGCACATATTTCTGGGGGGCTTCAGAGGAGAGATTCAGCTGCTAGGCTCTCCAGCATGCCACACACTTCAGAGATGGGGCTTCTGCAGTTGATCAGTTTTAGCCTCACTAATTAGTCTCATTCCTGCCTCCAGGGACATCAGGTTTATTTAGATAGACTTGAAAAGAGCAGAAATAAAGTATCTTCCAAAATGAAAATTCCATTTGGCCATCTGTGGATGGTTTAGCTTTATTTTCTCAGTGTACTGACTCTTTCTGCTGATAGCTCTTACGCTCTGAAAGAGGATGGCTTTGAAATAATATTCTTGGCCTCTTTAAAGCTTCTATTTGAACCTTCTTTGAAACACTGAGTTTCTTTATGAAAGAAAATGACATTTAAAAGGGTACATCTAAGTATCTCAAAATACAAAGTTACTGATCTTGCTGAATTACTTCCAGACATTGAGACAATAATATATTATGAAAATGATCCGAGTTTCATGACAGACACATCACCCACATCCTATAGCTTTGTTTATCTTGAGATGTGCTTCCTTTTTTTATTTTGTTAGCTTTTCTGTTCTTGGGAAAATAGGGTTCTCACTACCTGTATCATAAGAAGCATAAACTACTTATAAGTGGAGCAACGCCTTCTGGAATTAGCTTTTTTTGAAAGTTGGAAACCATGGAGAACCTCCCCACCTTGGTCTCATGTGTTCCTTTAGATTCTGAGCAGTTCCTCAGATTCAGCCAGCCCTGGAGCTTCCCTGAGAGCAGCGAGGGACAGAGCCACTGAGAAAGCTGTCTCGGCCTTCGAGATATGCCACCTCCTGTGCAGGGTCCACAGTTCTTTCTCAGGCCTGCAGCCTGTCATGCAGGAGCTGGCATGTGCTGGTAAGACACGGGGTGGGCTGGGGTCCTGGCAGACCTCAGGTTGTGTCTTTATTAAAGGAAAGAGGCGGCATTCCTCTCTGAGTTTGTCACACCCTTAAGGCATGTGGGGTTTTTTTTGTTTTTTGTTTTTTGCGCTGGAGTCTCACTCTGTCACCCAGACTGGAATGCAGTGGCCGCTCCTGGCCATCACAGCCTCGACCTGCTGGGCTCCGGAGATCCTTCCGCCTCAGCCTTCCGAGTAGCCGGAATTGCAGACATGCGCTACCATGCCCGGCTGATTTTTTTTTTTTTGATTTATTGTAGAGATGAGGTCTCACTACCCAGGCATGTCTCGAACCCGTGGGCTCAGGCAATCCACTCACCTCGCCTCCCAAAGGCGCAGGATTACAGGCTGAGCCACCGAGCCCGGCAAGCATGCGTTTTACATGCTCTCGACTCCTGTGAAGTCACGAGACATAAATGTAACATGATGCTCTTTGTGTTCCTTGGAAAGTAAAGATGACAGTGATGATACTTCTGTGTTTTTAAGGCTCCCAAGGAGTCTCTAATCTCCTCTAAGAAGCGTGCTAGAGAAGTCATGAAGCTGAGTAGAAACAGGCTTCCAGAGCCGTGAGGTCTCGCCCCTGCAGGTATCCTCACCAAGGCCAATGATGAGGCGGGGATGTGGAAGGTGAGTCACCCGTTTCGCCTCGAAGCCAGTGGCAAGGAAGAGACACAGGCAGCCAAGCCGACTGAAGAAGACTGCCGGGCTGGAAACCAGAATGGCCAAGGAGAGCCGGGTACCCTGCCGGGACAACAAGAGACAGACACATCTGCCTCCCCGGACTCTGCCAAGAAAAGCTTCATCTGCAAGGCCTGTGACAAGAGCTTCCACTTCTACTGCCGCCTCAAGGTGCACATGAAGCGCTGCCGGGTGGCCAAGAGCAAGCAGGTGCAATGCAAGGAGTGTAGCGAGACCAAGGACTCCAAGAAGGAGCTGGAGAAGCACCAGCTGGAGGCCCACAGCTCGGGCGGAGAGCCTGACGCCCCCAAGAAGAAGAAGAAGAGGCTTCCAGTGACATGCGACCTCTGTGGAAGAGAGTTTGCCCACGCCTCAGGTACTCTAGAGGGCAAGACTGCTGGGTGCTGGTGCGCGGAATCCGGGCCCTGCCCCTGGCTGTGTGCAACGAGGAGAGGGGAGGCTTTGAAGCAGAGCAGGTCCCCATAGAGGCGGTGTGGTGTCGTGGCAGAGCCTGGGCTTTGGAACCAGCTTCCCAGCCTGGACTTCCCGAATCTGTTCAGTAGGTACCTGGTGCCACTTATGTCTTGGGATTGTGTGGAAGGTTTAAGGAAGCAGAGCTGACACCTAGTATGATGCCTGCAGTCGACCTGGTACATGGCGACTTAACAGCTGTTGTTATTTATAATAATAACCAGTTGCTTAATGCCAGCCTTGCGTTTCCACGTTTTTCTTGACAATAAACAAGAGTCATGGAAGCCATGGGATGTGTAGTCAGAACTGTTTTCCCTTGATTCAGATGGCAGATAAACCTAAGGAAACATAACAGTTTTGTCTCCTTGTTTCTGGGTGGCGAGGTCCTATATAAGAGAGGAAGGGATGGGGAAGTTAAACCCCCATGCGTGAGGTCAGCTGCCTTTGGGTCGCTGGTTGGTGGGCAGAGGAGCAGCATGGCCAACATTTGGGGTTTGTGCTGTGCCTCCTCTGGAGGCTTGACCTGAGAGGCTCTTGGCATCCTCCTGCTGGATCCCTAACACTGACTGGCAGTGTCTCTTCCTGTCTCCGGCCTGGCTCCCCTAGGCATGCAGTACCACAAGCTGACAGAGCACTTTGACGAGAAGCCTTTCTCCTGTGAAGAGTGTGGAGCCAAGTTTGCAGCCAATTCCACCCTGAAGAACCACCTTCGCCTCCACACCGGGGACCGCCCGTTCATGTGCAAGCACTGCCTCATGACCTTCACACAGGCCTCTGCCCTGGCCTACCACACCAAGAAGAAGCACTCGGAAGGTAAGGCCCAGGAGGCTCTTCATTCTCCTGCAGACTTCGCCATGGGAGCTGCCTAAATGCCTAAATGCACTTGGAACTAGGGGTGACACCACTCTCAAGTAAGTTAAAGACAGAACTCAGAGTCTCTAGGCAGATGACTAGGAGCACATCTGGCGCAGGCATGCAAATGCTTACCAAGAGACTTCTAGGGAAGGCTGGCTGATGTAATATGACTTCATAGGTATGGAATTTACAGGAAGCTGGGCTCCCTTGAGCTCTGAGGTGGAGTTGACCTTGACTGAGCACCTGCTATGGATCGGCAGTGCCAGGCGTGGAGCAACTGAACTGAGATTCCTGTGCTCATGTAGCTCACAGCCCAGGGGATGGAGGGAAATGTGGACAGTTACCATGCAGGTGACTGGTGGGGTAATATGAAATAAGACCAGGGTGATGTGGAGGAGTTGGAGGGGAAGAGGCACCAGGGAAGGCTTCTTGGAGGAGGCTGCGTATCATCTGGAACACTTACGTATAAAAAGTAATGCAACCATCATCTCGCCCGATTGACACAGTAGTCTTGAAACTGTTGCGAAACCTTGCTCTCACCATTTCCTTCGATAAAATAGAACCACATCAGGCCACTTCTCTGCTCAGAACTCGGCAGTGGCTTTTCTCCTCATCTGTGTGAATCTAGAGCCCTTCTGCCAGCCTGCCAGGACCTCCATGGTCGAGTCCCTGCTTCCTCTCTGACTCCCCATTGGCACCTCCTGGTCGGGCCTCATCTCTGTCCTTCTCCTTGCTCGAGACGCTTCCCTCAGACGTCCCCACATCTCTCTACCTCACCTGCAGTCCTTGCCCTGCACCACCTTTTCTGTGAGTCCCCTCCTGACCACCCTGTGACAGGCTCAGTGCCCACCCAGCTTCCCTGCATTATTTTTCTCCCATAGTACCTGTCACGTGGTATAGTGTCTCCCTCAGAGATCGACTCTGCTTATGCTTAGTCTCCCCGTCAGAACGAGGGCTTTGCAGAGGTTGAGCTGTTAGGCTTTTTTCCCCCCTGCTTTATCCACGGGCCTTCGAACAGTACTTGGCAACAGTGTGCCCTCGGTAAGTGTTTGCCGAGTGAGTTAATGTCCTAGGCATGTTGCAGACCTGGGGATATGGTAATACGTATGCCCTGCTCTCAAGCAGCTTATGTTCCAGCAGGTAGAACTGACAGTGAACAAATGCAGGTACAGTATGAAGTCAGAAGAAGCATGTTGGGGGATGGTGGGCTGGGGCGGGCACTGCTTAGCCATCAGAGAAGGCCCTGGGATGGCACTGGCAGTGCAGAAACCTGAATGGAGTGAGAGAAGAAGAACATCACCCATGGAGAGCCCTCACCAAGTGGGACTGAGTTCTACCTGCTCATGAGACTGTAGAGAACCAGAAGGGACTAAAGCAGAGTCCATGGACGGTCGTGGAGAGGAAGCCAGAGAGGTCACCCAGGGCTGGGTCTCAGTGGACCTCATGCCTCGCTTGGGACTCCTGGGCTTTATGGGAAGTATGTTAGTTTCTGTTGCTGCTGTAGCAAAACGCCACAGATAGTGGCTTCAAACAACACAGATGTGTGATTTTACTGTTCTGGAGGTTAGCAGTCCAAAGTGGGTCTTGTGAGGCTAAAATCGAGGTTTCAGCAGAGTTATCCTCCTGTGGAGACTCTCAGGCAGAGAACATTCCTTGCCTTTCCACCAGCTAGAGGCTGCCCCTTTCCTTGGCTCCTGGCCATACTGCTCTGGCTTCGGCTTCTCCTGCCACCCTGCCTTCTTCTTTGACTCTTTTGTCCCTCTTCTAAGGATCCTTGTGATGACATTGGGCCCTCCTAAATAATCCAGGGTCGTCTCCCCATCACATCCTTAATTCAGTCACATCTACAAAGTCCTTTTGCTATGGGAGGTAGCATATTCACAGGTTTCAGAGATTAGGATGTGGACATCTTTGGGGGCTATTCTGCCTACCATCGGAAGCCACAGAAGGGTTTGAGCAGAGGAGTGACAGGACCTGATTTACGTTTTTAAAAGTTGATCCTAGCCCCTGTGAACAATAAGCTGTAATAGAGTAAGACAGCCAGGGAGGCAGGAGGAGGTTGCAGTGGTCCAGTTAGAGGGGCAGGGTTTCAGCAGAGCTGTGTATGTGGGGTTGTACAAGTGCTCAAGTTTTGGGATCTGTTTTTGAAAGTGTAGGTGACAGGGTGGATTAGAGGTCGAATGAGAGGGAAGAAAGGAAGTGTCCCAAGCAAGTGAGTGGGGCTGCTGTGACTCGGGGGAAATGACCATGTGTGCATGGTTGGGTGTGTAGTGGTAGGGTCGGCGTGCAGTGGTGGGGTCGGCATTGGGAGCTCTGCTTGGCCATGGTCAACGTGAGACACCTGTTAGACCTCCAGTGGAGAGATGGAAAGCAGGGAGTCAGAGGTCTGGGATGCTGGAGGGTTCAGCATGGGACTTTCTGTCATGGGGGGATATGTAAGGCCCTGAGGTGGGGTCATCCAGACATTGAGGATTGAGAGGGCCAAGGACTAGGCCCAGGCCCCTCAGCAGTTTCAACTCTCAAGAAACCCTTTTTTCAAATAGAATCTTACTTTGAAGCCCACTATGTGAAGAGTGAACACAAGACTGATGTTCTAGTTGTGGGCCCTGGATCCAGGGTTCTGGTGCCTCCGTGATTGCCTGCACGGGAATTCGGGGTTCCATAGATCCAACCCCTTTTGCAAACACCAGTTTTCCAGGCTTGTTCTTCACCTGTGTTCCCTAATCCTCTCGGTGGTCGGTCCTTATATTCTCATTATGTGTGTGAGAAAATTGAGAAGCCAAGGGATGTGTAGTAATTTGACAGCAAGTCATGGAAGAGGCTGTCTTCTTCTCTTGTCCACATTTCTTGCCTTCATGGGCTGTTGCGAGTCCACACTTTACATGCTGTGAGGGGTCTAAACACACAGGTTTCTGGACACACAGGGGATTTGGCTGCTGAGTGGGAGGCCCTTCGGCACTCATGGCAGATGAGCAGATGGCCTCTTGTGTGGCAAGAGCTCCGCCCCCCCGTCCACTGCGCCATACCACCTGTGAGCGGCTGTGCTTGGGGGGTGCCGTGTGACGAGTCGGCTCAGATCTTACCCAACGTGTTGCAGATGGCCTGATGTTTTCATGTCGTCTCCCAGATGATATTTCCCTGAAACATGCCTTAGAATGCAATTTTGCTTGTAGGAGTGCCATAAACGTTTAGGGCTGGCTCTAATCAGCTCGTGTGTGCTGCAGGGAAGATGTATGCATGCCAGTACTGCGACGCAGTGTTCGCCCAGTCCATTGAGCTGTCACGCCACGTGAGGACCCACACCGGGGACAAGCCGTATGTCTGCAGGGACTGTGGCAAGGGCTTCCGGCAAGCCAATGGCCTCTCCATCCACCTGCACACATTTCACAGTATGTACAGAGCCCCTGGGTGGCGAGCACTTGGGTAGGCAGGCACTGGGAGGCCTGGAGTCACTGCAGCAGAGATGCCCTCCCCGCACCTGGCCCTCAGCGCCTCCCCCTACCTTGTCCCTTTGTCCTGTCTCAGGAGGATTTCAGCATACCCTGTGTGATGCTTCTTTCTGGCCAGGCTGTTCCCTTTCTTCCTTTCCAGCCTACCCGGCACCGTTTAACCGACAGAGGCAAATGTGTATAAGGAGAGAGCCTCCCACTGATGACTCACAGTGCACTGGGTGTTTCCATGAGTCCATCCTCGAGCTGTCTTCCCACAGGAGCAACCCGACCCCTTCTGAGCTAACGTCTACCATCACAGTGGCTCCTGCCTGGCATCCTCCCCAGTGTCCTCTTTCCAGTGTGGCTGGACTTCACTCCCTGAGTAGGGTCTGCCCCCATCTTTCTGCCCTTCTGCTAGAACTGACACAGACTAAAACACTTTCAGTCAACACACATGCACGCATGCACACACACACATAGGAAGGAGAGACTTCTGTGACTCCATAAGACACTTAAAAGTTGCAGTGTGGCATTTGGCCACATTGTCCTCTCCAGCCCCCTCATTGCAGTGGGAGTGTCATCAGCATGGCACAGCCGGACCTCCGAGTCACACAAGTGGGGATTGGAATCTTGGCCCTCCACTTCCTTGAGAGCTTAAACACGTTTCTTTACTGTTCTGAGCCTCTTCCGTCCCTTCTGTAAACTAGAGCAAATGAGACCACCATCACCGTGGATGGTGGTTAGGATTAAGTGAGGCCACATGTAAAGAGTGAAGCTCCACGCCTGACACAGAAAATACCCAGTACATACCAGATATTATTGTAGGTGGCAAGAGCACCCCCCAGCTGCCCTTTGTCATCTTCCAAGCTCATCCTGTTTCCTTGTCATGTCCCTCCTTTCTCCTCCACCCTCCCGACATACCAGTCCTAGTTGTTGGCAAATACAGCGTCTCACAGACGTGCTTTATGGAACTGCATCTACATCTGTCATCAGCCAGCCAGTGGGAGTTTGCCAGACCTCCTGTGTCTCAGCATGTGTCTGGACACCAGGTGAGGCAGGAGGAATATAAACTCCCCACACAGAGTTTACAAGGCCGCCCAAAAAATCCAGTTGCAGTAGACTTCCAGATAAATGAGATGTGGCTGGGATCCAGTGCCAGAATTTTGATGTCCCTTTGACCTCTTTAAATGACATTTTGCTGTGGTCATCTTTTCCCAGTAGCATTGCGTGGGGAGTCCAGAAAGGAGAAGACATGATTAATTTTCAGAATGGAGAGGACACAGAATCCTTTGCCATACCCTAGACTGTACCCTGTATGGTGGGCTTGGTGTCTGGGCCCCCTACTTCACTCAGGCCCCTCTTCGTTTCTTGCCTGTCTCAGGACTACATCATTGCTTGTGGAAAGCTGCATCAAGGAGTCTTAGAAGACTGTGTAAAGCTGAGGTTTAAGAGCTCGTGTCCACAGGAAAAACTAGTTAATGATGTCAAACGCTGCTACATGTCGGAATTTCCAAATTGATCTGAATCAATGCATGCATTAGATTGACTCATGGGTTGGTTCTTTCTTGTGAGCAAGGGATTTTACTAAAACATTTTGATTTCTATTTCCTGCCATACGTTGGTACATGGATTCTTTATTATTGCTAGTGCTTATTTTTGGAGTCTCACTGAAGAGCTGGTATAGCCAATTAAGCATGCTGCACAGAGCATGGATTTGTGGTGAGAGCCGGGATTATTACCCATTCCTAGTCCCTTAGGCAAGATACTGATGTAAACCTTGATTTTCCTCATCTGTCAAATGGGGACGGTAATAGAACCTACCCATAAGGTTAATGGAGGGAGTGTGTTAGTATATGTAGAGCACTTAAAACATTATCTATTCATATGTTTTTATTGTTGAATCCAAAGTGGAGAGCAGGACGTGTTCCTCCAGTTGTGCTGTTGATGACAGAGGGAGTAGTGAGGCTCTGGGTGTCTATGGGGGAGAGAAAGTGCAAAAACGCTCACCTCAAACAGGACACACATGGTGACACTCCCTGGAAAGTAGTAGAGTGTGACCTGACTTGTAAGAGGGACAGTGAGGAACTGGGTGAGCTGTCTGTTGCAGAAACCCCGAGGGTGCCCCTCAGGTGAGGTGGGTCAGTTGGGTGACAGTGCATGATTCTGCTCCTTGGCTGTCACCTGAGTCTGTCTTCTGTTGCAGCGCTCAGATCAGCATGCCACTGATTGTGCCTCTGGTGCTTTTCCCTTGGCTCTTCCTTTCATGATGTCCCATGTGAAACTAGACATAGAAGACCCCTACGACTGTAAGAAGTGCAGGATGAGCTTCCCCACATTGCAGGACCACCGCAAGCACATCCATGAGGTGCACTCCAAGGAGTACCACCCCTGCCCCACGTGTGGGAAGATCTTCAGTGCGCCATCCATGCTGGAGCGGCACGTGGTGACTCACGTTGGGGGCAAGCCCTTCAGCTGTGGGATCTGCAACAAGGCCTACCAGGTGAGCCGGTGCCGCAGACTTCTTGCCCTGCCACTCTCCCTGTGGGCTTCCTGGGTCCCATGCACGTGGTCTGCGGATTGTATCTTATGTCCGGGAGGTGGCAGTGGGCTGCTTCTTGTGAAGAGTGCAGTTGCGACTCTCCAGGAGCCCGGAACCAGGGGCGGGGGGGGCTTGTCTTTGGAGTAGAGTCTCTACGCCTCTCCTGGATCTCAGCCTCATGGTGAACTAAATGCTGCTTTTCCCTTGGACACTTGTGTCCGCTAGAAGCTGCTGACCTATGTGGCCAGGCACGAGAGGACTATGGGAACTGTGTCACTATCTGGAATTACCTCGCTTAGCACAATTATTGCTTGGTTTTTTAACTCCCAGGGAAGGGCTTGGCTTTTTTACCTTAGTATTTGGTGTGTAATTAAAGTGAAACCCAATAAAGAACTAAAAAAGAAATAACGTCTTTCAGAACTCTAAAACCGCAGAGAAAAGAATGGACCTTGCTGGCATCTATGAGGTTTGGCTATAGACAAAGAACAGCTAATTTCATCTCTGTGAGAATCAAGAGCTCACTTTGTTCCAAGCCTGGTGCCGTCACATGAGGGTGACAGAACTAAGTCCTGGGCTTGAGGTCTAGGATACCATACAGCTGTAGGGAGAGGGAACCTGGGATGGAGAAGGACACTGGCTTGTGGGGCAGGACAGCAGACACCCCCGGCAGGTGCTTTGCTGCGCCCCACTCCTGGGAAGCAGTGTGATGCGGCTCGTGGTGGAGAGCACAGGTCTTCAGTCGGAAGGCCAGGGTTTGAATCCTGGCCCTTCCATCTACCCATTGAGTGGTTAGTCTTTTCACTCCACTGTGCCTGCACATCCCCCTTGCTGGGAAAATCCCAGCACCTCCTGGCTTGTGAGGAGCGAGTCTTCGGGGGCTCGACTAAACTCTGCCCTGCGGGGGCCTCCGTGGAGTCACTCTTGCCGTGTTCCCACAAACACCAGCCTCTCCACACGTCCACACTCAGTTCTGTGACCCAAGTGATAGGTGAGAGTGTGGTGCTAGACCCAGAGGCTGCCCCAAAATGTGTTCCCTCTCCTGAGGGCCTCCTGAGCTCTCTAGCTTGTAGAACTTTCTGAGACCTAACATTTACCAAATTCCTTGCAGCAACTATCTGGCCTGTGGTACCACAATCGGACCCACCACCCCGATGTGTTTGCTGCTCAGAACCATCGCTCTTCCAAGTTCTCATCACTCCAGTGCAGCTCCTGTGACAAAACCTTTCCCAACACCATCGAGCACAAGAAGCACATCAAAGCGGAGCACGCAGGTGAGGGTCGGGTGCTGCGGCTGGAGAGGGTGTGTGCGGTGTGGAGCTGGTGGAGTGCTCCTCACACCTGGAAACCAGAGCAGCAGGCTCCAATCGCCCCCAAGTGGAAGCTAGTCGCCACAGGGGAAGGCTTTGGTGGGAGGTGGGCTTTGGTGGGAGGTGGGCTTTGGTGGGAGGTGGGCTAGGTGGAGATCCTCTTCCAGGGCTTAGTGGCTGCATGACCACGACACGTGACCACTCTTTCCAAGTCTGCCCCTTTTCTTCGGATGGCAGCTAGTAAACCCTGCCTTGCAGGTCAGTGTGGGGATGCTCACGGCAGCTGTCAGTCACAGAGCAGTCCTGGCGCAGGCCCCACACTCAGCACTGGGTGTGTGTGTTCTCGTCCCTTCTCAGCCACTCTCTTGACATCCAGGCAACCTGAATTCAGAGCCGGCGCTCCTTGCCGCTGCTTGTGCAAACATGCCCGAGTGTTGGGTGCCTGCACTTGGTGGATGCTCTCTAGGGATAGCTGTCACCCCACCCAGCCCTGCAGCCATCCTCTGGTCTTGCCCACACCTCCTTCCTTGTGCCTCACAGATATGAAGTTCCATGAATGTGAGCAGTGTAAGGAACTCTTTCCCACACCCGCGCTGCTGCAGATCCACATCAAGTGTCAGCATTCAGGTCAGTGCCTGCCCAGCATGCTCCAGCCTGGACCCTTGTCCCTGCCACTCGCAGCTGTGTGGCCTGGGCTGGTCACTTCCCTGCCTTGTGCCTCTGTTTCTTCATCTGTAATACAGGGATAGCTGCAGTGCCTGCCTCAGAGAGGGATGCACAAATGGAAGGCCTGGCACCTGTGAGCGTCTCTAAGGCGTTGGCGGCATTGTTGCAGTTACTGCCATGCCTCACATCTCAAATGTCAGTTATAGATGAACTGTTTTAATGAACCATTGGGATAGGAGAGCTGCTGCCAATTAAACTGTGCTTTCTTTCACTTAGAATTTGTAGGCTATTCACAGTGCTGTTTTGCACTTAATTTGACTTAGATTTTTATCACATCATTCACTCTTGTGTGCTTATAAAAAGGAACATATGAGAAATAAATTAAGGGCAGAGTCCAGTTTCTCCGAGGGACATTCCACTCCAGCTGTCAGTGTGCATGTTTCTGGTGTTTACCCTGTTGTCGGGAGCACTGGCGAGGGAGCAATGAATACTGGTATAAGGTGCATCGAATGCTGAAGGCTGCTACCTTTGGGCTCTGGAGCTTCCTGCGAAGCTAGTGTACTTCTACCTCCCGCTTTGGGAATGCAGCTACGCTCTCATCACGCCCTTCCTCCCCTCTAAACCGCTGGCTGCCGGGGTGAGAGATGTTGCCCTTGTCCTCGGCGTTTTCTTCCCCACCCTGGACACTCATTCTGCAAGTCTTGGTGCTGCCACTTTGGTGTTGGTGGTGTGTGCACTGACAGTTGCAACCAACGCGCCTAGCCCACAGCAGTCGTAAGGTGCCATTGAGCCTACTCCACAGATGCTCAAATGTCCTTCCTGGAGCTGATGAACCAGAGTGTCGTCAGCAGCCTCGCCTGCAGCTGGATGAGCGATGGGCTTCAACCGAGAAGCCATGGCCCGAACCCCGTGCCGATGGAGCTGCAGGGTCAGGCTCTGCGCCAGCTTCTGCGTTTGTCATTTTACCTGACTTTTCTTAGAGAAGGCCTCCAAATGGTATCAGCTTCAGATCCCACAACACCTGGCTCTGCCTCCTGCCTGGGCCTCACTGCTCCCTGCTGCCACTTCCCCACTCTTGCTGCCCTCGGCCGTTCACCCACAGCCTGCTCTTCTTTCTCCCCCCACAGGGTCCCAGCCATTCAGGTGCCTTTACTGCGTGGCCACTTTCCGCTTCCCAGGGGCACTGCAGCACCATGTCACCACGGAGCACTTCAAGCAGTCAGAGAGCACCTTCCCGTGTGAGCTCTGCGGGGAGCTCTTCACCTCCCAGGCCCAGCTGGACAGTCACTTGGAGTCTGAGCATCCCAAGGCAATGGGCGCTGAAACCCAGGCAGCAGCCTCGCAGGTGGTGCAGGTGATTCTGGGCCCTCCGCTGCAGGAGTGCTAACCCGGGCTCCTTGGCCTTTGGGGGGACGGGGGACTCTGTCACATCACCCACTCCTGCTCTTTGGGGATCTTGTAGGGACTCTCTGGGCCTCTTACCAAACAGAACAGAAAACTCGAGTCTGCTGGTGGCCACCTGTAAAGTAGCCCCTAGTAGAGGGAGCCTGGACCAAGAGTCTCCAGAGGAGGAACAACCCTGACTTCTCATCCCAATTCCCTGCTTCCCACCCTCTGAGGAGCCCTGTGGGGCATGAGGGGAGTTAGGGAAACCTTGGGGGAGGCGGACGAGCTCCTTGTGGGCAGGAGCCTTCCCCACCCAACCTCCTTGCATGAAACTCATGGGCAGCCCCTGGGCAGGTCACACATCGCACATGTCAGCCTCACCTTTACCTGGGTGAACACCTGCCTGATGTTTTTCAGTTCAGCCTTTGTTTCCTGGATTCTCTTCTGCTCTCCTTCCCGTCTCCTTCAGAGAGGGCAGGCAGAAGAGGATTGGGACTCAGGCCTGTTGGTTGTATCTTGTAACAGGCTAGAGAGGAACTATTAGCTGGCTGAGGCATTAGTCTGTTGGGCTGTCCCACTGTCTCATTCCAAGGGTCAGACATTCATGAACCATGTTCTCACAGGCCTCTGGGGCCAGAGGAGATCAGGTGGGCATGACCTCGGCACACTCCTGCTGCCATATGTGTCCTTTGGGGGACAGGGTTCTGTTCCTAAAAGAAAAAGAGCAGCAGTTGGAATGCTCCTGTCCTAGACAATCGTATGCTGAGTAACACAGGTAATCTCACACATGCTGGTATAGGAGCAGCTGGGCCTGGCATCCTCACTTGCCTGCCCTCCACTCCTGGTCACTCTCAGGAGTGAGGCGGTTGTGCCCTCTGGGACATGTTGTTAAAATTCAAGGGCATCAAGCCATTCTGGGGTCCACAAGTCAGAAGCATCACGTGGAGGTCAGGCAGGAGCTGGGTGTGCTAACCACAGAGGCGCTCTCCCTGAGACAGAAGGTCCTCTCTCACAGGCTGCGGACTTGAAAGGGCACCTGCCTGCCACCTGGTGCAAGTGAGTTAGTGGCATCACAGTTTGTCACTCTTCTTCTTCCCAGGCTCTTGAGCCATGCAGCCTGCAGGAAGGTGCTCAGCTTGGCAGAGGGCTAGAGACCCACCCTGGCATGCCTGGGATGCTGGTACCCCTGCTCCTATTCCGTGCTCAGGCACAAGGCCCACCCCCGTCTCACATGGCACTCACCTACAGTGTCATCCTTGAGATGGGAAATCCCAGGAGAGAAACTGAGCCAGTGCTTGCTGGCGTGTAATCACAGAGCCCGGGCACCCCGAGATGGCGTACTGGGAGAAATTACAGCAATCGAGTGCACAGAGTTATTGGAATTGTCTGCCTGCCTCCTCTTTTGCATCGCAGGCGTGTGGGCTTGCCTCTTCCTATTAGGCACATGTAATTGCTCTCCTCAGGTGAAGACGTAAATACCATCATTACAGCAGGAGACAGAGCCATGTAAATCTGGGGCACTGGCCGCAAGTAGGCCCAGCCTTTCCTCATGCCTTTCCCTTTCAGGTGATCCAGGCCCCAGCACCCGTGGCCCCAACAGAGCAGGTGATCACTCTGGAGGAGACGCAGCTGGCTGGGTCACAGGTGTTTGTGACGTTGCCAGATTCCCAGGCCACCCAGACCAGCTCTGAGCTCGTGGCGGTGACTGTGGAGGACTTGCTGGATGGCACTGTGACCCTGATCTGTGGTGAGGCCAAGTGAGCGCCGCTCACGTGGTGAGGGGTTCCCACATCCATGCTGAGAGGACGCTCTGCAGTGCCCCTGGCCCTCTGACCCTGGCTGCCCTGCATGGTGGGCACCTCAGCTCAGCACCGACCGAGAGTCTCACTTGGAAACCAGGCGGGAGTGTCATCATTCGCACAGGACTGAGGATGTCTGAGCCATCGACACCACCGTCCTCAGGGCAGGCGGGCCTCCTTCCCCACAGGCCAGCTGCTTTGGCCTCCATGATGCTGTCAATCCCCGAGTGAAGGATGGCGGAGACAGAGTCTGAAGGAGCAGTGGGCTACAAACTGGTGCCCGGGGCTGCCTGGGAGGTGCGGCATGCTGGCAGCCCTCAGTGGGCAGAATGGCAGCTAGACAGGCCTTGGCCGCAGAGTAGGGCTGCAGACGCTGCCCGTGTGTCTGGCCATTTAGAGATGAGAGAAGTACCTGCAGATCTTTCAGAGACCCCAGCCTTGAGCACACGTGGCCCCTCTCCCTGCTCCTGTCATTCTCTGCCCAGGTTCCCCTGCATCAAGGGCCATGCCCAGCACCCCCAGTGGAGGACAGGTGGCCCTCATTTCCATGCAGGTCCCCATCAGTAAGCCAGCTCTTCCCAGAACAAAGCCTTGGGGAGTTTGCTGGCAGCGTTTCGTGTGAGGCGTCCGTCTCTGCCTTCCAGGACACCCTTCCTGGAGTTCCTCACTGAGCCTGGGTCCCCAGCTGCTCCAGGTGGACTTCATCCCCTTCCCTAGTCAGAGGCCAGAACTCGGGCCCAACCTGGCGGCCTCGCTCACCCCGTCTGGATCATGTGGCAGATGGCGTGGCAGCGCCAGGCTGGCTGTCCTGTCAGCCCAGGGAGGAGCAGCACGGCCCTGGCTCTGCCGCAGCCATCAGCACCCATGCCTTGGGAGCACCTGCTGTCAGCTTCCCCAGCCACACCCCTCCTGCAGGTCAGATCCTTTGGAGTCTGAATTTCACAAAGCTTTTTTATCTTGAGTTCCTAAACTATAATCTGATAATTAATGGTTTGTGGAATCCATTATGAAGTGCAATTAGATGGATGTAGGTTCCTGCCGTTTGGAGAGAATGGCTAGCATTTATCTTCTCTGCCTTCAGTGCCAAGAGGTTGGAGCATGCGGGTCGACGTTTGCACGCCTGCTAGGCTTCCTGCCATACTGTGTGGCTTAGCCTGTGAGGCAGCACCGATTTGCTTGCTCTCCACCTGGCACACTGGTGAGGACAGGCCCCCCCCCACGTCCCCCATCACCATGGGCAGAGCAGGCGTCTAGTGTGTGTGGTCAGGGCTAGTGCTTCTATTGCTGCCACACGATTAGGTCAGACACCGCCGGAAGGGCAGGAGGCAGAGCCGCTGACCAGGGCATTCGCCGGCTGGCCGTCAGGATGGGCCTGGTGTGGAAAGTCCCTCTGCAGCTCTACCGGCTCACCCCAGCCCGTGGGCTTTGCCTCCTGTCCTGTCAGCACACATGAGTTTATCAGTTCAGGGCTCTTCCTGTTCTGAAATGAGTGATGTTTCTAAAGCAGAGTCGGTCTCAGAAGCCAGAAACTGACCAGAAGATGGTGCTCAAACCCTTAAGACTTGGCCTCCATGTAAGGCCTCACTGTGTCTCCCGGGGCTGGCCCTGCCTTCTCAGTCCCTGAGCTGCCGGACCAGGAGTGCTCTCGTTCTGCAGGTGGCACCATGGCACCAAGTTTCCTCTTGGCACCAGAGGAAGCCACTGAGAGGCAGTACAGTGGTGTTGGTGCAGAGCCCAGTGGGTGAGCTCACAGCTCCACACGAGCCATGGTATGTGGCTGGGAACTGCAGTGAGTCGCTAAGATGTCTTCTAGCCAAGAAGCAAAGTAAGAAGTCAGTTGCCGAGTTCCTGCAGGGGAAAGGGATTTTTTTTAAAGCCTTCTGAATAAAGAGCTGTACGTGTTGAACCCAAGTGTCAGAACCTTCCAAACACTGAGCAGCCTGTCCTCAAGCTTCTGATGGGGACCCAGCCTGTGACAAATCACTCACTTTCTTCAGAATCAGCAGACTTGCAGCTTGCTGGACGGAGCATGGGACTTGCTGCTAGGGCCCATCGGTGTCTTCTCACCCTTGGCACACAGCGGGAGGCAAGAGCCCAGCACTAGTCCTAGGAGTGAAGAGAAGCCTATCCTGAACTGGGCATCTGCTCCGAATGGCCTTTTGTGTTGGCCGCCCATGCGTCGGCACAGTTCTCCTTGAGAAGCCCAGGCATGGGTTTTATGGTAGGAGGAATTTCCAACTCCACTCGGATATTTTTTTCTTTCTCCCACTTCTACCCAGGAGACCTGAGCTGCTGCCCCAGAGGACATTGTGAATGTGGTCTCCTTGGTCCACATCACTTGCTTCCATCATGGCCCTGGCATTGCTTGCCTTATTCCTGTGAGATGCTGTCCTTGTGGCCTCTGGTGTGGAGGGGTCTAATCCTCTGGGAACACATGGATCTGTTCAGTGGGTCCCCAGACCCAGCTCCCAGAACTTGAGTTCCACACTGGAGTCCAATTCTGTGGGCATTCTGGGCTCGGTTACAGAGTAGGATGTGCCCGTCCTAGGTGAGATGGCAGATAGGGGGCTCCGAGAACCAGGATCACCGTGGGAAGACAGGACTCGCACTGTCCACGTCAAGTGAGCAGAGCCTGGGACCGCAGGGGCACTAGCAAAGGCCTTTACTGTACATCTCATGAAGCCTGTGTCTTCTGTCTTGGTCCTCAGTGTTCAGAAACCCAATGAGTTCCAGGGCCTGCAGTGTGAGCACTGGCTTCTCTGTGATTAAGGCCTCCCAGAGGAAGCATTCCAACTTGCCGCTGACCACAAGAGGCACGTCTGCTTACTGCCAGGGGCCAGAGCGACAGTCAGGGCCTGGAGATGAGATGAGGTCCAGTCAGGGAGACAGCTAAGTGGGAGACAAGGTATCTGCTCGCTGCACACGGCTCAGGCGGGTGGGGCGTCAGAATGGAGGGCGGGTGAGGGCCTAAGGTGTCCTCCCTCATCCTGGGCTGTTGACATGCAGGCCCCACAGGCTGAAGTCATGCTGATGGGGGAGCGTGCCTCTAAGTCTCATGGCTTGAGAACTGGATGTGGACTGAGGGCTGGAGGGAACTGCTGCCTGCGTGCAGCGGACTGGACAGTGGGACAGTGTAGAGAGACACGGGCTGTCCTCATCAGCCCTCGCGAAGGAAAGGGTAGCACCTGTTCCCTCAGCCCAGCGTGTCCCAGGAGGCTTGGGAGCCAAGAAGAAAATGGCGGCAAAGAGATGTTCAGGTTGAAGGGAGTGTCAGGGGCCAGCTGATCTCTTGTGTTGCCATGGAAGCCGTGGGCCTGGCAGGTCCCAGACCAGACACTCAGAGCACGGCTGGATCCATGCCTGGGCCATCAGCCCTCGGCTGGGAGGGAGTGATGCTGTCTGGATTGCGACTCCGTTGCTGGGACACGTCGCTCTCTGGGCTGCTTTAGGTTGCTTCCAGGTTGTGGGAATGTCTAGCACTTTCCGTGCCAAGGCCAGACACTCAGGCTTTCACCTCTGTGGCCCCACATGTGGAACTGGCCCCCACGTGACACTGTGTAAATTGGATTACAAACCTTGGTCCTGTTCCACTTGCACTAACCTATGTAAATGAAGAATGTGCTTTGGGAAACATCACGCTGCCTGACTTCCACATGGCATGTCGTGGACCTGTCTTCCTCTTTGTTCTGGCAGGTGTCACGTGGGTGCAGCTTGATGGGCCTAGTTTCCAGGGACCATTGGGTATGGCTGCACTAGCATGGCCTCGGGGGAGAAGCGCTCTTCCCTAAATCTTTACTCTTCCCAGGGAGGGAGTGTGGGTGCATTTCAGGGCATGGCTCTGATGTGCCACTTGGGCACCTCTAGCTCTGCACTGTGTGACCTTGGGTCAGATACGCTCTGAGCTCCCTTCTGTAAAATGGGGAAATGATTGTACTTGCCCTGCAGAATTGTATGATTAAAAGCCCAGTTTTAATGAATTTAGAGTAGAAAAGGCTTGGTTTTGTTAATAAAGTTTTTGCATACAAACCCCATGCCCTGCATTCTCTGGTACCAAGTTCATTGCTGTACCTTTGCGTGTCTCTTCTTCCTCCTGAATCCCTTGGGATCCTGATAACACCCACCACTTCATTTATCTCTTGATTCTCTGCTGCCCCCAGAGCACAAAGTGCTGAGCAGACAGCTACAAATAAGCAGAACCCTTTCCCATTGAACCTCTGAAAATGTCACATTGCTGGCAGCTGGCACAAGAGAGGGAGACGCACACATGGGAGGTGCGTCATCTCTGAGGGAGGAGCCTTCAGGTTGGCTAGGGCGGCTTATCAGATCCTGCAGCCCCTGGCATGGAGGCCGGTCCTGAGGCTGGGAAGGTGGGGCGGGGGGTGGGTGGGAAGGAGGCTCTGTGCCCCCTCTCCTGAGCCATCCCTGTCCCAAGCCCACAAATGCCTTATGAAGGAATGCCCCCTGCCTGAACGCTGTCTTTCGAGAGAGGCTGGGGCTGTCCGTGTCATATTTGGGTAGTAGTCCTGAGTGTCCCATGCAGCTGCAAGGGGTCATCGTGAGCTGTGAGTGTGCGTGTGTGCAGAGGTGAAGTGCTGCTGCCGATCAGTCAGGACTGAGCAGAGGAAGAGGACGTGGCCGGGGTTCCCTGGGGATCAGCAGTCTCCGCCTGAACCAGGTGGCTGGCTGCAGGGGCCCAGTAGCACAGGGAAGCCGTGGGCTCAGCTCCCAGCTCCACTGACAATGCGCTTGGACAGGTTCTTCCTGACAGTGATATTGTGAAATGCCTCCAGAATGTTTATCATGTTTTAAAAGTGCTTGGGGGCAGAGGAAGGCTGGAGAGGAAGGCCCCTGGTGTGCACCAGGACAGAGCACCTGGGCCCCCCTGCAGGGTTCAGGGACCAAGGTGAGAGTCTGCATTCTGGGTTGCACTAACGCTAACCCAGAGCACCTGTCCCAGACCGAACGGACAGTG